CCGTCCGCCGCTTAAAGGTGGGGGGCGCGGACCGGCCATAGAGCCCATAGAGTTAAAGGTGGTGGACTGTAACCTGTAACATCCATAGATTTAGGAGGTCCCCTAGTGGCCGTTAGCTGTACAAATCCATAGATTTAGGAGGTCCCCTAGTGGCCGTTAGCTGTAACAATCCATAGATTAGCCGCACCGTTATATAAGCCGCAGCGTCGAAAAATGGGAAAAAAGGCGCGGCTTATAGTCCGAAAATTACGGTATATTGGAGCGAGACTGTAAACCCAACAGGAAGTCGGGCATTTTGAATTTTATGGTGTTTTTTGAACATTTTAGGGTTAATCCTCCTACAGATTTCATCCTATCGCCTTTCAAATGAGTCAGTATGATCTAAATGTCAAAAGTTACTGCAACTTCACTCCTGTTATATGATGCATACTTATTTGATTTCTATCCCCATGTGTTTGCCTCTAATTTAATATTTGAGTCTACTCGCTATAGTGTCCAACTGTTGTGTAACAAAGTACATGTCCTCGCTGTGGGACGAGTGTGTGTGTGTGTGTGTTTTCTGTGGTTGCTCCTCAGACCTCTGGTTCTCCTCTCTCTCGGCGGCAGCGAGACTTTTCTTCTGCTTCAGCTGCTCGGCCGAGGAACTCTGCTTCACCACCACCACCGCCTGCAACACACACACACACACACACACACACACACACACACACACACACACACACACACACACACACACACACACACACACACACACACTTTAATAATGTTTTTTTTACATTTTTAACAAAACAAATCAGTTAAACAATAAAAATATCATTATATTATATAATATAAAAAAAATACAATTTAAACTCATACTTAAAAAACTAAGAATGAATATAAATAACAATAGTATAATTTTCTCACATGTTCTAGCTTTACACACTTATATCCCCATAAATACAAAGTTATTATTTTTTTAAATTGCACGGTTTAAAATAGACAACCCTATTATATAATAACTCAATATTTATATATCAGTATTTCATCAGAGATATTGTGATATTTAATGTTCTCCATATTACTCGTCTTACTTTCTGTAAATATTAAAAGTTTCTACCTGCTGTAAGAAATTGTAAATATTGTTAGTTGTTGGTTCTGACCTGTTTCTGAACCCCCTCCCCCGCCGGGCTCACAGCCCGCAGGTTCTGGTTCTGGTCCTTCTGCTTCCCCTCCTGCTGTTTCTTCTTCTTTGGTTTCTGCTGGATCTTCAGCAGCTCTTGGACGCTCGCCGGCGCCTGGATGGTCACCAAGTTCTGGATCTGGTGGTTCTGGATCTGGTGGTTCTGGGTCGGCTGCTGCTGGATCTGGAGGTTCTGAATCTGGTGGTTCTGGGTCGGCTGCTGCTGGATCTGAATCTGGTGGTTCTGGGTTGGCTGCTGCTGGATCTGGAGGTTCTGGATCTGGTGGTTCTGGGTCGACTGCTGCTGGATCTGGAGGTTCTGGATCTGGTGGTTCTGGGTCGGCTGCTGCTGCTGGATCTGGATGGGCAGCTGCAGTTTGATCTGCTGTGGTACCGCTCCACCCTGCTGCTGGGCCTGGATCTGGATCTGGGCCTGGATCTGAGCCGCCACGTGGGGAGGGAGAGCGGAGAGGAGCTGCACCGGCTGCTGGAGGCCCGGTACCGTGATCAGCTGGTGCCTGAGGGGGGACTGGACCTGCACCTGGGTCTGGTTCTGAGGCTGGAACTGGACCTGGAGCTTTGCTTGGACTTGAGGTTGGGCTTGGATCTGAATCTGCTGCTGCTGGACCTGGTTCTGCTGCGGGGACTGGACCTGGAACTGGGTTTGGATTTGAGTTTGGACCTGGGGTTGTTGCTGCTGCTGGACTTGGAACTGGGTTTGGATTTGAGCTTGGACCTGGGGTTGCTGCTGAACCTGGCTCTGTTGCTGGAACTGGATCTGAACCTGGGGATGGAGCTGGTTCTGGGCCTGAGTTTGGACCTGCTGCTGTTGAGCCTGGGGTTGAAACGAAGCCTGTATCTGCGGGTGGTACTGAGGCTGGACCCGGGTCTGGACCTGGGGCTGAAACTGGACCTGAGGCTGGAGGTTCTGTGTCTGCGTTTGAGGCGTGAACTGAACCCGGACCTGTCCGTGGTTCTGGGCTTGTGCTTGGGCCTGAATGTGTTGCACTTGGGCGAACGGTTGGACCTGGATCTGGGCCCGGATCTGGTTCTGGATCTGGTTCTGGCGCTGGGGGGAGAGAGGAGTCTGGATCTGAGGCTGTGAGGGTCTGACAGCAGGGAGGCCCATGTGGACCTGAACCGCTGAAACAGGGATCTGAGAGAGCTGCTGCACTGAGACCACAGCAGGGAGTCCTGGGGGAGGGGGCTGAGGCAGGGCGGGGGGGTTCTGAGGCTGATGGACCAGGGTCTGAGACAAGGTCGGGGTCCAGAGCTGGTGCTGAGCCGTCCTAAGATCAGCCAGAGCTGCAGCAGGAAGGAGAAGAGAAGCATCAATAAACAGACATGAGTAAACACAGCAGCTTCCAAAGGCTCTCAACTGAAGCGCTGAAGTGCTGTATGAACACATTTGACATTATTTGTTTCACTACTTTTTACTAAAGATTACAGTTTTGTATATAAGTGTATATTTTTTGCTATATTTTATCTTATTTTTACAAAACATTTCTCCAAAATTTACACTTTTTATTAAAATATTTCGTATATTTTTTTAATGTAATTTTCTTTCATTTTGTATTAACACATTGTATATAACTTGTTTGAATTATTTAAACATTTTTAACTGTTTATTTCAATTATTTTAACTTTTAAATTGTTTTATTTAACCAGATTTTCTCGTACATTAGGATGCATAATTCTATTGTCAAAGATAAAATGCATAAAAACACAGTTTGCTCTGGATGTGCGTTTCTCGTGTTCCTTACCTGGCACTGAGGGTGTTGTAGCGGTGGCGGTGACGGGGGTGACCACAGCAGCATGAAGAGGTACATGAAGGGGGGTCTGGATCTGAGTCAGACCCCCTGGGGAGGGGGCTAAAATCTGTGTGGAAACAACACCTAAAACTGGGGAGGAAACGGGGGCGAGAGCTGGGGTCGGGACTCTGACCGGAGAGGGAAGAGAGGCGGACGCTGGGATCTGAAGCGAGTTTGTAGATACGGCCATTTGGGGGGAGGTTTTGATTAAAGTCGGGGCTAAAGAAGGGGCGGGGCTTAAAACATGTGTCTGGATTTGGGGTGCAACTTGTCCCGGGAAAGGGAGCGAAACTGCAGTTTGTGCAGGGAAAACCCCCGAAGAGAGGGTGGAGATTTGAGTCATTGCTGGGGAGGGAATAGGGTGGGGGAGGGAAGTGGGTGAGCATATCTGAGAAGCCATTTTGTTCTGCATGGGAGCCAAACTCGGCATTTGTGTCGGGACAGGAAGAGGGGCGACCATTTTTGTTTGTGTCAGGGACGAGGGGGTGGTTTGGACTTGTGCGGGGGCTCTGGTTTGGCTTTGAAGCGGCGTTTGAGGGGTGGTAGTGGGTGAGGAGGGGGAGGATGATGGGGGGACGGGGGTGAAGAGGAACCGCTGCACCTGGCCGTTGGGCATGGCCGCCTGCATGAGCTGCTGCCCGGGGCTGGGGACCACCGTCACCCCATGGGGGAGGATCTGTAACTGACCCTGGGTCTGCCCCTGACCCTGGATCACCACCGTCAGACCAGGGTTCCCCCCCTAAAGAGGAGAGAGGGAGAGAGATGCATTTAACTTAGAAATCCAAGGGAGAGAAGAAGAAGTTTGAGTTGATGCGATAGACGTGTGTCTCACCTGAGCGCCCTGTGTGAGCTGCAAGAGTTGAGCCATGGTGAGTTTAACCTGACCCTGCTGGGGTCTGCTGGGCTGGGGGGCGGCAGGCGTCTGTCCGGGGGTCGGGGGGGCCGGACCTGCTGCTCTCTGAGGGGTCTGCAGGGGGGCGGAGCCAGTCTGCTGAGGCTGGCCTGGAGGAGAGGAGGGAGAATGTTTTATTAACCCTACAAAGCTAAATGTGGCTAATGTTGGGCTATAAAGGAACTACAGCACGGTCACATGACTTCAAGTCACCACCGCTAAGCTAAAGGTGGCTAATGTTGGGCTATAAAGGAACTACAGCTTATGCTAAACCACCTAAATCAAATTTGAATAAATGTGGGAAACTTCATTACAACATACATTTAAATTAATTTAGCAATACATGATTCATCCTTCTTTTACCCTGATTAATGCCTTCTGTAAGACAGTGTTTTTTATCAGTAAATATATGCATTTTCTTGCATTAAACAGTGAGAAGCAAATACAAGACTGTGTTGCAACACGGTGTAAGGCATGAGCCACTAAGACCTTCATTTTCTAATAGATATTATAGTGTGAAAGATCACCTTGCTGAGCCAACGCTGGACTCCTGAGCATCGCTGCGCCCGCAGCCGTAGCTGGTGAAGGTGTGGTGCCCGATTGGATTTGACCTACTGTTGTGACGGTCTGAAACACAAAGCCATAAAGATGAAATCTTCAATTATCATGCTTAATATTTCTGAAACTGAAAAGGACATGGAGAAAGAAACAGACCTGCTGCGGGGTGGTTGTTGTGGAGTTGGAGGCTCTGATGTTCATGTTTCCAGTCGTTGGATGTAATGTGCTGTAAGTCCTCATGTTAGCAGGGGGTCCAGAGGGGAAGATGCCCAGGACCTTCTGCTGCACGACACCTGTGGATAAGAGAAACATTTAATAAGTGAAAGAAGCAAATATGCATTGGGTGATACAGGTCGAGGATGCACAAAAGCAGCGAGGCATGCACTGTGTGCGGGGAAGAGCGCGAAAGCAACTAAAAAAAGCTTGATTTAAATTGGGTAACGGTAGATTAAAAACAACACTTAGAAACACGCTAAGACAAAAATCCAATTCCAATAGAGTGGTGCAGGAGTCCTTATCCCAGAAATGAGTCATCATGTTCCCTGGTCTGGAAGTCAATGGTTCTGAATGTGTTTTTGGTTGTTAGCCTGAAATAAGGTCTGTGGTTAACACAAGCTGAAGAGGGCGGGGTCGGTGCAGAGTGCAGCCTGCGCTGCTGGCTTCCTCCAAGTTTACAGTAAAACAAACTGGTGGTGTGACCAATGGCCATCTACAATTATTAACACTATTACTATTATTAGCATTAGTCTATATTTTGGTTGAAACTAAGCCAGGAAAAAAAAGAAAAACATAAATAATAATAAAAATATATATAAATAAAATCGAATTTTAAAAAATAATTTTCGATTATGGAGACTGTAACGAATATTCGAAAAATCGAATAACCGCTGGCATCCCTAGTAAACACCCCACTGGTGGAGGTTGCTAACACGTGTCTAAATGAGACGACTAAACGTCATCACGCTCAACATTAGCCACCTTTAGCTTAGCGGTGGTGACGTGAAGTCATGTGACCGTGCTGTAGTTCCTTTATAGCCCAACATTAGCCACCTTTAGCTTAGCGGTGGTGACGTGAAGTCATGTGACCGTGCTGTAGTTCCTTTATAGCCCAACATTAGCCACCTTTAGCTTAGCGGTGGTGACGTGAAGTCATGTGACCGTGCTGTAGTTCCTTTATAGCCCAACATTAGCCTCATTTAGCTTAGCGGTGGTGACGTGAAGTCATGTGACCGTGCTGTAGTTCCTTTATAGCCTAACATTAGCCTCCTTTAGCTTAGCGGTGGTGACGTGAAGTCATGTGACCGTGCTGT